CCTTTTAAATCTCTCGTACTACTGTCTTAATGTTGAATTCAAAATCATAAGAACTCTAACTCAGTTTATAGACACTGTCTTCTTTTCTTGGAACTTCATATCCTTATAGCAGCATCACATACAATACTGCTTCTTAGACATCATGTAGGAAAGTTGTTTTCACATCAATTTATTCTAGATGTACATATTTCTTTGATACTAAGCTCAACACAACTCTGATAGTTAACATCTTCACTAAATAAGAAAATATCTCTGTGTACTCCATTCCTTCCTTTTGTTGAAACCCCTTTAAACAAGCTTCACTTTATAGTATCTACTAGCATCTGACTCCTCTTTTAGATTGTGAATATACTTATTATGTAGTGTCATTTTTTCATCTAGAAATTCTGTCAAATCACATGTCTGATTTGACCTTACACTATGAGAAAACTGTGAATTAGCATCAGAATACTTTTGACGTAAATTAATTATTGATTTGCCTACACTTGGCATCACCCGTGGTCCTGCTCCCAAAAAGGTCTACACAGATGCATTACGTCGAGTGGAAGACGCCATTCTGTTACTATATCACCCGATTAGCCTCAGTTACGTCCGACACTAAAATTACTTATTAGCGTTGGCATTAGCGGGGTAGCCCATGGGTCAATAAGGAATCTTTAGAACTCTAGCCTATAAGGGTAACTTAAGTCAATTTTCACTTATAGGAAGTCACCTCGAGCTTCTACCAATTTTAACCCTCATCATCTCAACCATTAGTTGAGGATTTAGGCTCATCCTTATGAAACTCTAAGTGAATATAGAATTGATTTGAAGTTCTATGTGGGTGAGTTCCATCTCTAGGCATATAAGAAGGCCACTATGAAACCATAAGGTTAGATCCTAGGTTTTTATAGAGAGAAAAGAGGTCCTCGCAAAAGTTAGGTTAACAATGTCAGATTAGCATTATATTAGTCTGACACAAAAGACAATAATCAACATTCAATACCTGTCACCACTAAATTGATGCAATAACGTCCAAACAGTTTGACACTAATTAGCGTCGAACATGACATACACTAACTAGTGTTGACAATGTTCGACGTTAATTAGCGTCTGACATATATGATGCTATTGTGTCATTAAACCAGTGCCGCTCGTAAGTTCAACGAAATTTTTTAGTGGGATGTTTTGGATGCTTATGCAGATGAAAATTAAAATCTGACGCTAATGTCGACGCAAAATTAATTAGAGATGCTCGTTTTAACATAAAAAAATACAACACTAATTTGACGCTAGTTTATTTTTTCGTCCAAAAATGACCTGATTAGTGTCAGAAATGTTTGATGCTAATCGAACATTTTCCCGTAGTGTTAGTGACTGTGCCTCATCATCCATAATAAACTTTCACTCTTTTGAGACTTCAACTAAAGTAGCCTCTTCATAGCACTCTCGTTCACTATCATCAGTCAGCAATAAAGAGCACAAAGAAGGAAAATATCTTTGTAGCAATCACATGATTTTTTTAGACCTCCTAACTTCAGTAGCACGTGTCTGAGGAACTTTTTGTGCTTTATTAGATTAGGCATCTTTCCTTTCTCCATCTTCTTGATCACCATTTCCTTCTACCTCAACATATTTGAAAGAATCTTTAGAAGTAATCGATGAACAATCTTGTGTACTTTTTGTGCCATTGCATACTTCCATTTCATTGAAAGTAGCATCCCTACTCCTAATAAATTTTTGATTTTGAGTCCCATAACTTGCACCCATATTTATTTGGGCCATAGTCAATGAAAATGCACTTGATAGATTTTGAAGTAAGTTTACGCATGTATATTGCATCAATGTGAACCAAATACTTTGAGGTGAGATGGATTTATTTATTTGCCACTCCAGAATTCTTCAAATAAGCATTCATTCAAAGGTAATGATGGATCATGATTGATCAGATAAACTACAGTGTTAACTGCTTTTGACCAAAATTATTTTGGCAAGCTTGCATGAAATCTCATACACATGGTAGACTCTGTGATGATTCTATTCATGCACTCAACCACACTATTTTACTGCGGTATCACTGGATCTGTGAGCTCATGCATGATTCCCTTGACGCGTAATAACTCATGAACCTCTTATCAAGGTGTTCGTTATTATTATCTGATTTGGACATTTCAATTTTTAGCATGTCTCATTCTTAACCAAATGATGAATAATCACTACAATCTATGTGACCAACTGCGACCTATATGGTCTACAACTCATGTAGCTCCTGATTTCGATCCCTCCAACATACGAACATCATCATAGCTCACCACTACGACATATGTGACCAACTATGACCTATGTGGCTCACACTCTCACAGCTTCCTACTACGGTCTCTAGGGCCAACCGATACTCTTAAAGCAACCATATGCGGCTCACATGACCAACTACTTTCATGGCTTTCAATTGTGGCCTATACAACAATTTGGAGTCATGGCCATCATCTACCACATTCATGAAGAACTACTACCTCTATAGTAATCGACCACAACCTTTGCAATGTACTATCATTGAGAATTAAATTCAGTACAACTAGACTAAGACTATTTTCCTTGAATCACTGTTGTACATTTATAATGACCATGTTTGCAACTCTATCTTCTCTAATTCAGGAGACTAGTAGATCTGTGTACTCACAATTTATAGCGTGGATTATTTTAATTTGGCTATGCCCCGTGATTTTTTCCCTGTTTCTAAGGGTTTTAATGTAAAAATTGAGATTTCTCATTTTGCTTGTTTTATTATCTGAATATGTGTTGGAATCTCTTACAATGCCAAAATGTATATATATATATATATATATATATATAATTCCAA